TATAGACCACAAAACAGACTGCATGGATGAGCTGAAAAGAGACAAGGCTCTATTTTTATTATTATTGTGTCTGTTTCTGGAAAAGCCTTTAGTGCAATTAATTCTTAAATCCATAAAAACCCAATAATATCTGTGATTATCTCACTTGAGATAAATATAAGATAATTTAGTGTCCTTCATGGTCTTTGAAGGCTAGAGAGTTCTTAAGAAAATGGCTGCTTGAATTTAGGAAGAATTGATGCAGAAACCAATGCTACATATTTACATAGTACTGCTTGTAAGCGTGTTGTAGTTCTGCACAAAATTGTCTCAATTGGGGGAGTAGCTTTTTATCTTATTTTGGTTTTTTTAAAAATGACTGCGATATTAAAATCTGTTTTCTAGCTGCGAGGAAGCTTACCATACTTCGGGGGCAGATTTTCAGTGAAGCAGCAGTGCTGTGTGTCACACTACATAAGGCCATCCAAGGGCACTGTATGTTGACTTTTAAACGAGAATATATTACTTTGTTGTTATGAGAGGTATAAACTGGTAAAAGATTATATGATCAGTTTCTTCACTGTTTTCAAAGATTGTTTAAAGAGGTCTCAGAAATGCCCCTAGACTGTGACATAACTGATTGTAGTTTTTCTTTGGTACAGCTAGCATTCATTATTGTGGCTGCTGTAATCTGAAGACTAAGGCAAACGCAAACTGAAAGGAGTGAGAGTGATGAAGATTTTTGCTCCAAAACATCCATGATCACAGCTGATAGGGTCATATTCCTAGGTTAAAATTCTCTTGAATGATGATACATTTTTGCAATGATGTCTTTAAGTTCTCACGGATGGTGTAGTAAATACTGAATCCTATGAAATGTAAGGGAGTGCACTTATTTATACAAATAGCCATTTCTTTTCTTGCTTTTTCTCCGTATTCTGAGCAGTAATTTGTGGAGTATCTGTTCTTGGTGTCCTGGAGCACTTTTTTTATTTTAGTCTTAATTTTCATTAGGATCCTCCTAACTTTTCTATGTATTTCTGTTTTCAGACACATGCTGCAAGAGTAATGATTTGTAATGTGTGTTTTTTTCCCAAGGAACTCATATTGCTGAGCAAACTAAAGAAAATGCAAGGGATCTTTTCTCACACCTTTGTGTGAGTTAAAATGAGCATAATTTGTATCATTCACCTGTCTATGAGAATGGCGAATCATACATCAGTGAGTGAATGAAATTAAACAGGTGCAGACTTAGAAGCAGAAACTAATACGACGTTGGCAGACACACAGCTTCATGTTGTAGTTATATGATGCTTCCCTGCTGCTACTGTATGATGTCAGTAAAATTAAATACCGAATGTGTTTTGTCACCATCTATTCTTGGTTTTTTAAGTGAAATAAGAGCTTTCCTAGAACGTAACTTTTAAAGTAAGTTTCTTTTGAAATCTAATGAGAAATGATAAATGCATGCCACTGTCATGTTCACAGGTTACTTCAATGAGCAGTTTTGTTTGAAGACGTAGGGCAGCAATCCACTACTAGTAAATTCATACTATGGTCTATGTTTGCTGTCTAAGACCCTGATGAATAAATGTAATGCAGACGCAAAGAGAATTGACATGATTCTTTTGAGTGTGACTGAATCATCTCCTACAGAAATAGACAGGAGGCTCAAGACAGAGCTCTGCTAAGACCTAGGGAACTTAGTGTCTGGTTCTGGCTTGTGCTTTAAAACTTGAAAGCCTTCAGCCAATTTCTTGGATACATAGTATCTATGAAATTCTTAAACACTTTGATCTACTTATGCAGGAAGGTTAAGAGAGGATCTATTCATAGACAAGTGCCTAGAGGTGGGCTTAAATTTTAAAGGACTGTAACCTAACATTATAGTATCCCACAGTCAGGGGTGGAAGCTAAAGCAAGAAAAAATGCATTATTTTTGAATCATGAGAGTACCTAACATTACTATGAGTTGTCTTAGTTCTCACTACCCACCGAATGCTTGAGTTTGTATAATACAAATAAAATTGTCTTCTTCTGAACTACTATAATGTGGTCTTGTACCTAAAGAGGATGGGCTACCTCTGTTATGTGTTGAAATATCATAGAAGTTACTGGATGTGACTTCTGACTACACTTCTTATTTTTTCCTTCGCCTCTGCTAATTCTATAAAAAACTGTTATGAGACTTAAAGTAGTTACATTCTCATTGCTTTGGGAAGCAAAGCTTCCTTAGGACTGTCTGGTTAACTGCAGAGATATTTTTTTCTTTAGAGCATACAGTGGATGTCTTTGAAGTTAATTTGTGTTCTAGAGTACCTTTCTGCTTCAGTCAGTGCTACTTGCCTTGCCCCAAAAGAGAAGAGATTAGGGAGACATTTCAGCTTGGAGGAAGCTGTTAAAAAATTGGGGGTTTCTTATTAGCCTTTTCAAACAGTCTTCCAGGGCTGTTTCAGAAATACTTCAACCATAAATCATATTGTCTTGAAAGAGCTACTGGCCTGCCAGCATTGCTGAATAAATGAATATTGTTATGGTACAGTACACTGAACAATATTTTGGTTAATTCTACTGGAATTTGATTATGGAACTGCTAACTTGATTCTGTATACAAACAAAATAAAACCTTCTTGTGTATGGGAATATAATCTAAAGATTACTTTTATTTTCTATATAGTGACATTAGGGGTTTATGTGAATAAATGAGATCAGTTGTTTTCTAACCATTATTCATCAATAAAACATTGCTAGTGATGCCTGCTTCTCTGACATCTGTAATGGCCAGATTCTTCCCTGCATCTTGCCTTCCCTAATCGATGCAAAAAAGTTGGGATGCCCTGGTACTAACCCCAGAAAAATAACTGCAGTCTTGGTGCTGTTCCTGCTACAGTTCTGCCTACTCCTGAATGTGATGTTCATTGGCAACCTCGTCAATTCCAGGATCTCTTCAACTGGAGATTTCAGAGTTTGACTAAAAGCGAAAGAAGTGTTCCCTTCTGTCAAGTGCTGCTGCTGTTCAAAATTCTTGTTATTTAACCCCAGCTTTCTACAGATGTTTTCAAGATCATAGGAAGCATGTGTCTGCAAAGGAAGAAACCAAGGTGGAAACGTAGTCACGACGAGTGCGTGCTGTAGCTTGTTCACTTTCTTTTTTAAGAGCAGATGGGTATAGAAACTCATTGTCTGCTGCTTTTTGGACTGTGTTTTGTGTACTTGATCTGTTTGTTTGCTTTCAAAGGAATACTGTATGTTCCCTTGATCCCTATTTCTGGTTTTAAGGCTTATCTGCTACATTGACAGCCAGACTTAGACCTTTAACTCCATCATCCTCACTACCAGAATTCGTGTTGTTTACTCCTAACATTTTAAGAAAAATAAACTTCTTTGTTTCCCAAAAAAAATGATGAAGCAACTCTAAGAACAAGGATGTAGAATTGGTTATAGATACATATGCCTGTGGAGGTAATTAGATGTTCTAACAGAGTTGTGATGTGCAAGGATCGCTGAGGATCCTGTTTCTCTTGGTGTTCCTCTCTTCTTGGTTCTCTGGTATGTGTTCACGTCCATTTTCAATGTGTAGCTGTGTCCTAGGGAGTGTGAATTCATCTAGAGATGCTAAGATGCCATGATCAAAAGAACGTAATTTTTTTCTTCATGGTAAGGTATAAAATGTCCATCTTCTTTCTGCTCAGGTACCTATCCTTAATTCATTCCTTCTGTCTGGACTAGTGCTAGTGGTGACAGTTTGTATTTTAGTATTTTGTCTAGCACTAAGTTGTTCTCTAAGTTGTTGTAAGAGCCCTTAGGGAAGTATGGGGCTAGGAGGAAAGCTACTTTCTAGATATGAGAAACTTTCTGTACATTCTAGACACAAAAAAAGGAGTAATTTCTGATCGGATTTAAGCGAGGCTTGACCAAGATCTAGTTCCTTACCCCAAGGATTCGAAATGATGCAGAGTGACAAATTATTGCTGTTGGGGGACTGGTCTTGTAGTTTGTACACAGTCCTCAACTTAGGTAACTTGTCGATTCATGTCACTTCAGGTCAACAAAAGCTCTTCCCTCCACTTAGCAAAGAGAAGCTTAGTCAGGAATGTCCTGATGTTCTGTTTGTGCATAGCTCATAAGCCCCACAAATTAAAGCTAGTGACTTACCTGTGGTTTCTAAGGAAGCCTGCTGCCCTGTTAAACGGGAGTGAAGTTGACAAACATGTATCCTAATTGCTGAGACTTCTGTCTTCCCAATGGAGTGGATGCATCTGCTAGGGACTTGCACAGTGGTTCTCTGTACAACATGCAGACATGCTCAAAGTAACAAAGTTAATCTTGCTGTTTAACTACACCACTGTTAGACTGGGTTTTGTTTGTTTGTTGTAATGTTTGATTTCTGACCTATATCTGACTTTCATCAGCTCAAAAGCTCTGAATCATTTTGTAGCTTTGTTCGCTGAATAACTGTCCTGCCAAAGCTATCTTTGTATAGATGGCGATCATATCACTTCTGTTACCCACCTTTTAGTCCTTATTTCCCTCATCAGTTATAAGACCATATAAAACATCTTTTCCCCTGCTTTTACAACTGTAAAACAACAGTAAAAACTCCAATGAAGTCTGGTTTACCCATTTTAATCTATGACACGATGGTAACTTACAGAACATGTTTAGCAACTCTGATAACCTGATTTTGAATGCTCTGTGAGAGTTTTTGATGGTTTTCTAAATCAGACATAATGTAAGTCAAGTTGGGAAGCTGGTGTCTTGTTTCTCTGCTGAAAAGTTCCATTTGTGAAGGTTATGAATGTTAGTTTTAAGTGACAGTCAGCTGATATAGCTCCATTTCTTCCTTGTAGGCTTTTTATCATATTTCTAGCTGTTCGTTTTGTGAGTGCCTGAATTTTCATAATTTGATTTAAATTGTTCATATGTCCCATTACAGCATGTAACATAAGACATAAATAGAAAAAAAAAAAATCCACTAGTGTGTTGTGATACATTGGACATGCTTCCTGCATCAGAAGTCAATGGATGATGTTGAGATCTGTTTGTTCAATTGGAAAAGCAGGTATGGTGGCAATATTATGTGTTTAGACCTCTGCATTAATAAGAACAAGAATAGCAATAAAAGTCTGAAGATTCTTGGGCACTTGATTAGGAGCCCACTCTGGGGAATGTAAGGTGATGTCTGCTACAGAGAGACACTCTCAAAGGGACAAGTGTGTATGCACTTTTTATGATACTACTTTATGAAAAGTTGGTGAAGTGCTTTTCTTTAGATCTTATTTTGAAATGTATATATTTTTTCTAAAGCCTCTTGGAAGATCCTTTCCCAGTGTATCAGGCAAATTTGGGTACTTACGGCTTTTGAGTTAGGTTACAATTTAAATGTCAAATCATTCTAGCTAGGAAATCACTGCTGTGTCAGATGAGCTTCAAAGTTCACATCATGGTTTATTTAAAAAAAAAATAATTAAAATCACAAAAGGAAATTTAAAAAAATTTAAAGTCCATGGGTGACTCAAACAGTTTTCCTTCAAATGCTGCCTCGCATATTGACACAAATTCATTATTATCTGGGAACTTCTGACACACTGGGTAAATAGTTTGGAATTGAGTCCACACTTAAATGTTTCCTCTCACTAAGATTTCCTTGTTTTGTGACGTGAATATTGACCAATTAGTTATTTTTAAAAAGTAAAAATGGTTCAGATTATTTTCTAAGGAGGTAAATGTTTAAAGAGAAATGTCACTGGTGTAGTATATTAATCTCCTCTGAAAAAAACATATCTAGACCTAAGGAATGTTTTTTTAAAACATTTGTGTGTGTGTGTATGCACACACACACATATGCGCCTGTGGCTTTTCTTTAGCAGGTTTTTCAAACTTCATGAAGTACCTTCCAAAAATTGTTCTTGGGCAATTTAACAATGCAATTCCCTGCAAGTATTGATGTAATATCTGGCTTGAAGACCTACTAAAGGTTCTGAGGTTTTTAAGTTGCCTAATGACTAGAAAATTAATATTCTTTTGGGAGGTTGGGGGTATTGTTCTGCAGTTCTTACCAGGGAGTGAAATTGCAAAGTTCCTTTTAGGATATAGACTGTCCCAGGAAGCCTGTGATGTATTATGAGCAATTGAATTGTGAATGTTACAGAAGGATGATTCAAATTATAGAAATGCAAGAATTGGGTAGATTGACTCTACTTTTTTGTATTATATCAAGTATTTATACCAACTGTTTTGTTGTAACACACCTTAAACAGATTAATGTGGTGATTTAACTTCTACATGTGCAAGCATTTATTTTTGAAATAGAAAACTCTGTATTCATTCTCAGTTGTAAATCTTCTTATTTTTCTTTCAGATTACTCTTTACATCAGTAGAAATGGACAGCAGCAGTTTCATTCAGTTTGATGTGCCCGAGTACAGCAACACTGTTCTGAGCCAGTTAAACGAACTCCGCTTGCAAGGAAAGCTATGTGACATAATTGTGCATATTCAGGGTCAGCCATTTCGAGCCCATAAAGCTGTCTTAGCTGCGAGTTCTCCGTATTTCCGTGACCATTCAGCATTAAGCACCATGAGTGGCTTATCAATATCAGTTATTAAAAATCCCAATGTTTTTGAACAGTTGCTTTCTTTTTGTTACACTGGAAGGATGTCCTTACAGCTGAAGGATGTTGTTAGTTTTCTAACTGCAGCTAGCTTTCTACAGATGCAGTGCGTCATTGATAAATGCACACAGATACTGGAGAGTATTCATTCAAAGATCAGTGTTGGTGATGTTGACTCTGTCACTGTTGGTGCTGAAGAAAATTCAGAAAATCGCAATGGAGTTAAAGACAGCAGCTACTTTGCCAATCCTATTGAGATATCTCCCCCCTATTGCTCTCAGGTGCGACAGTCAACAGCAGGCAGCGATCTTAGGATGGAAGCTACTCCAGGCAAAACTCTACGTAGTCGTCTGCAAGAAGAAGGGCATTCAGATCGAGGAAGCAGTGGGAGTATCTCTGAATATGAGATTCAGATTGAAGGTGATCATGAGCAAGGAGACTTGATAGTAAGGGAAAGTCAGATTGCAGAGGTGAAAGTTAAAATGGAGAAGTCTGACAGGCCAAGCTGCTCTGATAGCTCTTCCCTTGGTGATGATGGATATCATACTGAAATGGTGGATGGAGAGCAAGTGGTGGCAGTAAATGTTGGTTCCTATGGGTCTGTCTTACAACACGTTTATTCATTTACCCATGCCTCATCACAGGCTACAGGTATGTCTGAAACCTTCGGAAGCCTGAGCAATACGAGCCCTTCAAGGTCAATGCTGAGCTGTTTCAGAGGGGGTCGTGCACGCCAAAAACGGGTATCCACTGGTCACTTGCATAGCGATGTTCAGGGCTTGGTGCAAGGGACTGACAGTGAATCCATGGTGAGTAACCCGGGATATGAAAATAGTCCACAGGAAAGAAACACAAGAGGTCATTGGTATCCATACAATGAGAGGCTAATTTGTATTTACTGTGGAAAGTCTTTCAACCAGAAAGGGAGCCTTGATCGACACATGCGATTGCACATGGGAATAACTCCTTTCGTGTGCAAGTTTTGTGGGAAGAAATATACCCGCAAGGACCAACTTGAGTATCATATTCGTGGTCACACAGATGACAAGCCCTTTCGCTGTGAGATCTGTGGAAAGTGTTTTCCTTTCCAGGGTACACTAAACCAGCATTTGCGAAAAAATCACCCTGGGGTAACAGAAGTAAGAAACAGGGTAGAGTCTCCAGACAGAACAGAAGCATTTGTGGAACAGAAAGTAGATAATGATGCTTCAGCTTCTGAAGCTATGGATTCTAGTATGGAAATTCATGCAATGTCTAACACATCTGATTAAAGTATTATGTTCTAAGTGCAACACAAACAAGCACATTTAACTAATGTATTTTTTAAATGTTTTATTCTTTTAGTAATCTTCAGTACAAGTATAAAAGCCTTTTAATTTTCCTGACCTTCTGGAAATCAGTTTGAAATGGTTTCTGGAGAAGACTACATAAGTAGTATTTGTTTTTGAAGGAGGCTGGGTTGTTGCGTTTTGGGTTTGTTTGGTTGGTTTTTTTAATATACTTTTGAAGATGCTCGAAATATAAAAGACAGTGTGCTGCGGAAAGGATAGGAAGAGTCTGCTAAAGTGTCCCTACTGGTTGATCTGGCAAGACACAAATTCCAGTGGAAAAGGATATTAGCATAAGATTGGCAGCTCTGCTGGATACAACAAGAAACTGTAATCTCCTTTATTTTATTTCTCAAATCCTGTTGCTGGTAATGAGTTACACAGCAGTGGGGAGAGAAGAAAATATCATAGCTTTGATTCCTTCTGCGTGTCACAATGAAATCTGTTTGCTTTTACTAACTGTTTTTGGTAGTTAGTCTGTTTATATATATAAATTTGCTTTATATATATAAAATGCTTTCACTTTTCCTATTCTGGTTGAGGTGAATGTAAAAGTATGTCAAGGTTTATACCAGGTACCACTCTTTCAACTGCTAGGTTTCCTCTCCGCTTAGGATTTAGGACTTCGGACTCTGGGAGGATGGTTTTGGTTTTAAAAGAATGTTGTTTGGTTTTCATTTTATTAAACTATTACTTTGTGTGCAAAAGTGAGCAAAGTGAATTAGCTTGTTTTAATAGCTTTGCTTTATAACATATGTAAACCAAATGCCATAAATCTATTAAATTAAGGTTAAATTGTTGAGGGGTTTTGTTAGTTGTCTAGAACGCAAGCTGGACAACCTGTGGTGCTGAC